TCGTATGCTATAAAATAGTTTTTTTAAACTATATTCATTTTATCTAAACTTTGGGATCAATCAGCCGTATATTGTTTAGAAAACTGACCATTGATATTTTCAAATTCCGGAGAGGGACCCTGCAAATCACCTACCACGCCCAAGGCAGCAGGGTTACAAATAAGGCAGCAGGCGCGCGTGTTAATAAAAAAATACATTTTTCAAATGAAGAAATACATGTAAAATGAACTCGAATTACGTACAGCGCCATCTGATTGCGAATAGATCAAGCAAGAATTTCGATATATCAAGGAGGTTACGTACAGCGCCATCTGCCCGCGAATAGATCAAGCAATAATGTCGACAATTCTGTCAAATACAGATCCCGAGCTTGAGAGTTACAAACAAACATACATACATACAGGTGAAGCTAACAAAAGCGTGTTAAAAAAGGTAGATTTTCGGAATTCCTACGGTGGAAGATTTTGAAAAAAAAGTTGTAGGTACTCACGTGAAATGATGAACATAATACGTTTCTGAAGTCAAAACGTGGAGCTCTTCCTTCGTTCGTTGATTATGGCCTCTACAGATTTCCGAACGAGAGCTCCGGTTTGACTCGTATTAGCTAACTTTTTTTTTTCAATTTTCCGCTGTGGAATATCCGAACATTACCTTTTGAAAACTAACCCGAGCCGGTATCCTAATCATTAAAAATTGGTTTAAAAAGTCATAATACATGTTTAATACTCACTTTTTACGAGCCCTCAAGATGTAGACAAGTACCCCCGCATTGATTAAAAATAGAGCCACAATGAGTAAACAAGGAGCAATATAATCTGAAAAAATGAAATATTTAAATTGAAAATTACAATTTTGGATCCGTTTTCGTAGTATTTAGAATTTGTTTTGACAAAGGTGAATTATTACCACTTGCCGCATTATTTTCCATTATTGAAACTGATTAAAAATGTGTGATAAATGTCACTACTGACAAAATAAAATGCAATAACGTGAAACACTGAGTGGCGATTTAGTGTGTTATGATTTGAAAGGGTTATATTTTTAGGAGTGACTAATTTTTGGGAAAAAAAGTTTTTGGCTTTCTACTACTCCATCTTGTTACAAAAAAATGTGTGAATATTTCAAAGAAAGAAAGGAAGTAATCAATTTTAAATAGTGAAAATTTCATAGAAAGTTACTGATTTTGTTGCTTTTCGATAATTCATACTTACCCAAATGAGTATACGAGGTTTGTTAAAAAATGAGGTGAATAATAATTTTTCTTAAAAAATACTTATTTATTCATCAAATTATATTTTGTCCCCTTCAAAGTAGTCCCCATGAGATCCTCGAAGCAGCTCTGATATGCATTTGAGCTCTCTCAGCAATTCAATTTCTAACTCCTAAATCGTCGCAAAAACGCTGTCTTAACGCTTTTCTTTCATGGGTCTCTCCAATCTTCGGAACAGGAAAAAGTCGCAGGGGGTCAAGTCTGGTCAAAACGGTGGCCGAGGCATGATTGTGGTATTGTTTTTGGCAAAAAAATACGAACAAGCAATGACGAGTGAGCAGGTGACTTATCGTGATGCAATAGCCATGAATTGTTTTTTTACCATACCATTTTCTTCCTATTGATTCTCGCAAGCGGCGCATAACTTCTTTATTGACAGTACGACCATGTGGCCAGAACTCCTGATGCACCACGCCACGATAATCGAAGAAAACTGTCACGTCATAACCATACACCCATGATTCGTCACCAGTTCAATCAATCTATCAATCAATCAATTTATTTGCTTATTATCAATACAACAAATTTAGCATCGTCAAGGTACATACACTTTAAAATGGCAAAGCATTAAAACTTGCAGTTGAAAAATTCACTGACGTCATAAGGGCAGAGATCAACCAGCAGCCCTTTTATACTTTTTTTGAATTTATTATATTAAATTTTTTAAATAGAGGCCTGCAGCTGTCAGTTCGTTTTGCCCGTCCCAGCATTGTAATAGCCGTTTTTTGTAAAAATGAATATCCTTTCCCAATCAGTTGAAATTCCCAAAAAACCAATCCGTATGACAGCTTGAACTGAAATAACCTGACGTAAGCTGCTTTCGAAACATACAAGGGAACACATTCAGTGATTCTTGACATTCAAGCATAACTTATTGGCTGCACAAAAATTTTCGATTTTTTTCAACGCGTTTTCAGTTAGTTGGATATTCATGTTCAAGGTGACTCTCATAAATGGTAGTATCATCGGCATACTGAATCGTGTTGAGGGGGTTCATATGGTGTGGAATATCATTAACATTAAAACAAATATATTGAGTTGAAACGTTTGATTCCTGGTTTATTTCGACTTTGAATCACTGACTATATAGTCGGAACATTGGTCATTCGAGCCGGATAGCTTTACGCCAAATCATTTTTTTAATGCAATGTTCAAATGGAGCTGTGCCACCATTGGGACAATTTGAGGAAGTCGAAGTATACCTGACAAAACAGTGGAGAGTATCTAAAGCCTCAGCGGATATATTATGGAGACGATGGCGAAAAGAATATTTACTTACACTGAATAAACAAATGAAGCGGCATGAGAATGGGGACGACTTATCAGAGGGCGATGTGATACTCGTCATTGACGACACATTACAAAGAAATTAGTAGTCACTTGGGAAAACTATAAATGAGATTAGAGTTGTGGACGTCAAAACAAAATCAAGTACCTATAAACGGCCAGTTCAAAAATCTGTAAATTGATCAGTGGTACAGATTCTTAACGGAAATGGATTGAAGAATATGTCAAATGAAGTGATTTCATCACGAGGCGGAGAATGTTGTTGCTTTAAATTAATTTTGTAAAGTTGTAAAATAAAGATATCGACTTAAAACGTTTGATTCGTGGTTTATTTCGACTTTAAATCAAAGGACTTCACAGTAGGACTGACTAGTCCGAACAAATCCAATTTTGAAAAAAAAATGCGTTTTCTTTATTCGGTCCGGGACTCTTCAGCCCATTTATTATTTTATAATTGCATTTTTATTTTGAAGTAGTGTGAAATGAGATGGACATTCTCTGTCCCGGTATTGAGAGGTACAAATCCTCCTCAACTTGAAACTTTGAAGGATAGTTACCTGAGGAACCCATTACAGCTCTGACGATAGACCGATCACTCCTGAAAATAAAAACAAAATTTAATTTCATTTCCAAAATTCCCTTACAAAGTTAAACCACAACCAAAGGCATATTGAAGTATCGTGAAAGGTTTGGTTTGTGAATATTCATCAAGTTATTAATTAACATTTGATTCAGTTCAACAATAAAAACAGTTTTATTGAAAGTTATGAAATTATGAAACAACAACAAACATTAACAGGCGCTCCGGGACGACTTGATTAATTCCAGTGGCGCATTTGCCTTTTCAGCTGCAGGAAAACCCGGAAAAACCTGCAGCACCATATCATCTGAAGATCTTGATCTGCCAATGTTCTCTCTTTCATAGAATAAAATGTAGGGTGTCTCTAGAGGCTCCAATAAATTCGAGATATTGGCAGAATATTTAGTGACACGACTATCGTCAAACTTAAACCAGTCCGTTTCTTTGACCAATGCGTGATAATGACCAGATTCAACGCCAGAACCACATTGAACAATGACTGCATGAAGATAATAATAGTGGTCTGCTAGATTGAAGTGTTCATCTATTTCGAACCTTCGTAAGAGTTTGGTCTTCACGAAATATAAATTCGAAATTGTGGCCCCTCAGAGGCAGATGAGTAAATTGGCAAGATATACAAGATTGAAGCAATCAAATATTGCAAATTTGATTTGATGAGGCAGTAGAAAGTTATCAAAAAATTATTTATTCTGAATAATATACCAATTATTGCCGAGAGCTTATGCCTTTAAGTTTCAATATAATTTTTCATCGACACAATAAGAAGTTTTATTACTGATTTGTATTCTATTTCATTATTATAAATATGGATGTTTTTAGGGATATTTTTTTTCGAGATGCACCTCAGGCGATTTCTCATAAGTTGATTTTCGTTGTTCTAACTTGTATTTTCTTTTAATCTTCATTTTTATAATTCAGAATATTCGTAATATCGTTTGGGTTTGCGTTGTCTGCAAACAACTGAAGTTTGCCATCGAATTTCAATTGTGCCATGGAATTGATGAAGATTTGAGGCGTTTTCTGGCGTTTAATCGTATTCGAGCATGTATTCAAAAACGATTCGTAAGTAGTTACATCATTAATAATACAATTCGCCAGAATGGAATGATTCAATTTGTGTCACATATCAAATTCAATAATAAAAACAAACATTTCAATTTTCTCTAACGTCAATAAGGTAAATATTCGTTTTGAGGGCACCCGGCGATCTTTAAAAAAATTTTTGAGTGTTCTTACGTATTTTGATGCGTAGATTACGAATCCGAAAGAAAAAAGCGGCGCTCTCCCTTAATTACAAAGTTACGGCTGTTCAAAGTTCAGAAAAGGGCAACTTTTCAGCCTTCTTTTTCACAAGATAAACTATTTAAAACACAAGCATTTATTCACTAGGTTACCTTTACACCTTATTCCTCCATCCTTGACACTTTAAACTTCAACAATCAACATTTTTCTGATAAAAATGTTAAAAAATGTACGAAGCTGCTTTTTGGTTACATATCTCTGTATTTTACGTTTCTAAGGTTAATGGCATAGTTGGTACGACTGATGCAAGCAATCGTTTTTAAATTAAGTTTTTTATGAGAAAAATGTTGATTGTTGAATTGAAAAGTGTCAATAAGGGAGGAATAAGATGTAAAGGTGACCTAGTGAATAAATGCTTGAGTTTTATCCTATGAAAAAAGAAGGCTGAAAAGTTGCCCTTTTCTGAACTTTGAAGGGCCGTAACTTTGTGAATAAGACAGAGCGCCGCTCTTTCGGATTCGTAATCTACGCATCAAAATACGTAGGTACGTACACTCAAAAATTTTTTCAAATCGCCGGGTGCCCTCAAAACGAATATTTACCAAAAAGCTTTCAGTACTTTATAAACTATAACGATCAAAAAGCAGAAACTGACAACTGACGTAACGTAATGTCAAATTCCGTTTCAAAACCAACCTCACGCTAGTTTTGAATCATGATGAAAACGTTTCAAATCATAGTTGATGTGAAGTCATCGTTTTAACGCCAGAATGGATGTATTTGAATCACAGACGAATACATTTTGAATACATGAGCGCCAGAAAACGCCTTAGGATTAGAACATGACATAAAATAGATCCTTGTGGAACCTCACAAGATATTCTCTCGATCTGTTCATTTTCTATACATACTTTTGGTATTTCTATCAAAAGTCTTTCTGAAACCAAGTAAGTATGAATTTTTCCCCTCACTCCAAATTTCTCCTCATACCAATTTCATGGTCAACATTATTTGCAAATCAACTGACAAACAACGTAAACGTAATTGTTTGCAAATGTAAATGTTTTCTACTTCCCACATTAGCATTTATAATGTGGGCGTTGTTTGAATATTCAGCTATATTGACACCGAAGCAAAGTGGCAATAAACCACAGAGATAACTCATCCAGCCCACATCATGAAATTCAAATAGGTACTGTAAATCGAGCATTTCCAAACCCAATAAAATCGGCTAAATATCTTGTAATAACTTACCTAAGAATAACCACAGTTTAGTTTCTATTTTCATGTACAATGCAAACACAAGTTAAACAACTTTTTGCTCTACGTTAGGTCGCACGTGCTATGTTTAAATTTGTTAGGTTAAAAAGGAAATGAATGACGCGCATTATCAGAATGAAGAGTCGCATATACAGCCTTTGGAATCAGCTGTTCCCAGAACAGGGCTATTATTGTGGAAGTCATTTTGAATGTTAACGATATCTTAAGCAGTGGTGTTCTCGAAAAAATTGTTAGGGTTTATTTTAATTGCGATGATAAGTACAGTGTGTGAAAGCAAATATTATTTGAAAATCATTTTTTGTGAAGGAGTCAATGTTTCTTAGCTGTTTAATGTTCCACAACCTGAAAAATAAACATCAGCAAAATCAGTAGAGAAACTGCAAACTATATCACCTAATATACGAGGTTTGTTCAAATAAGGTTTTTTTAAGGACAAAACACAAGCACTAAAGAAGCGATATACATTGGATTTGAATCGCTGGAGATTAAATCGATTTGGAAAAACATTCTAAAGAAGTTTATTTCACATGAACGCAGTTCTCCAGATGAAAGAGTTCTTAAACAGTGAAGTTCGAGGTGTACCGAGTTGCACCTCAAAACGATGAGCAACCACAGTCGGTCGCGTATTTCTGATATGTACCGCTCTTGGTGGAATCAAATGTGCCAAGACACTTGAACACTTTCCGTGAAAGTATCTATAGAAAAGAGACAAATCTCCAACCTTTCTTCGATGTTCCAGGGTATCAAGGTTGCACATGATGTTCGCCTCTCCAATCAGGCGGATGGCTCTTTTTTGGATGGAGTTTAGCACCTTCAGGGTATGTTTGGGGGCAGAGCTCCATACATGAAAACAATACTCCAAAGAAAGTCTGATCTGAGCTTTATGAAGCATCAAAAGTTGTTGAGGTGTGTACAGTTTTCTGGTTCGGAACAGTGTTCCAAGCTTTTGAGAAGCAGCCTTTACAATTCCAGCGACATGTTTCTGCCAAGACATATTGGTGTCCATTTAAACCCCCAACAAACTTATCGAAGCAGAAAGCGGAATTGTCTGACCTGACATTATTATATCCGGTTCGGAGACATTTATATTCTTGGAGGAAACCGATGCCTGGATTTTTGTGGCATTGAATTGAACCTGGTTGAATTCACCTCAATTCAAAATTACTTCTAGATCCTCATTAAGATATGCAACCTCCTGCTGCCGGTGAAGATATGCCTCCGTAGCCGACATCCTTGAATCCAAATGGAATGTCGAGATGAGTGTACTGTCGTCAGCAAAGCAATATATTGGATTCTTGGTTCCAATGAGTCGTTGATATACAATAAAAAGAGGGTAGGAGACAATGAGGATTCCTGGGGAACACCAACGTTGATGGTGAAAGTATTCGAATGTTCAATGACAATTCTACGCTGAACAACATGTTTCTACTACTTTTTAAATTCAATAAAAGCATTAACGTCAATTTTAAATAATTTCGATGGATTTTTACGTTCAGTTGAAGCAAATAATTCACATATCTTCCTAGAAAAAACTGTAATGTACCTACTATGAAAGTAACTTTGTTTCAGGACCTTTGTTTTTCATGATTTTCTTCAAAACTACGCCTACTATTGGAAGAAGTTGAATACAAAAGTTGTATTTCTTCAGAAGTTTTTTGTAGGAAGATGGATAAGTAACAGAATAAACAAAAATTCAATTATCTACACTTTGATGCAGGTTGTCTATGGGATTATGGGGAAGAACTTGGAGAAACTTCAACCGTTATTTATTCAAAATCTACATTGATTGCTACAGCTGACATTTTTGTTGTAACTAGTTTCCTTTGAATTACCGAAATATTATCATTAATATTGTACATCGGGGATGAAAACATTGAATGCGATATGATTATTTATTTTATATCATTCAAAGAATCAAAAAGTGTGAAAAAATCCAGAATTTGAACCTGACTTGTTTCTTATACTCCCTCTATGGCAATTTCTACAATCTTGGTGAATGGTTTCTCCCAGGTATACATTTTGATGACTTGTATTCCGGAAATGATTTCTTTCATGAGTCGAACTCTCTCGTCTGTACAAATGGCAGTACATAATCTGCATTTGGAAGTCAGCTTAGCTAGGTACACTATAATCTTATAACTTTGGTGAAAACCGAAACGTGGAAATATAATTGTTTTATTTCCTTCAAGCAATTCAAGCTGCCCACCATCAAATCAAAATATGCTTCATTGTGATATTTTTTGTGAATTATATAAGTATTTTTGCAGAATTTCTAGATATCTTTCGGTAAAATATATCACGGTATTCACAATACGGTGAATATTATTGTGTATATGAGTGTTAATTGTAGCATTGTTAAAACAAGCGAAATAAAAAATAACAGTAATTGTATTGTAACAGAAACGAATTTTTTTTTCAGATTTTTATTCTGGATACATATAAACATAATACATAATTTACATTGTACATAGAATTGATAATCTGTTACAGTTCTGTTGACCTTGATGTGAAATTTTCTTCAGCGATAGCTTGCAGATTTTCAGCCATAGCCATTCCGGTCTGCTTCACCAGTCCATAAAAAAACCCATTTTTGTTTCGCAAGAGCTCAAACGGATGGTCAAACTCTACCGCCTTTCCGGCATCCATGACCAAGACTTTATCTGAGTCCATGATGGTGTGAAGTCTGTGAGCAATTGTTAATACTGTGCAGTTGGCGAATTTTTGTCTTATCGTACTCTGAATTAGCCCATCTGTCTGCGGGTCTACGTTGGCAGTTGCTTCATCTAGAACCAGGATCTTGTTGTTGCGTACTATTGCACGAGCTAGACAAACGAGCTGTCTTTGTCCCATACTGAAGTTGGAGCCGCCTTCAGCCATCTTGCTGTCCAGACCTGCTGGCAATTCATCAACGGCATGTTTTAGTTCTACTTCTTCTAGCGCGTTCCATAATATCTGCAAAACAATTGATAAATAATGAAAAATGTTGTTTTGTTAGGTATGTGAGAATCATCTCATATTGTATATTATGAAAGATCTTTATGCTATATAATTTTGGCATACGAAAAAATCTACAAAATTGGTTTTCAAAATATCTAAGACATAGAAAGCAACACGTTTTGTAATACAAAATTATATTTTGGGATACAACAAAGATCTATTCTTGACCTGTTTTATTTACATCAACAAAGTTTGACTCAGAAGGGAACAATTGAAAAATTTACTGATAATAATTGTATTGATATTGAACATACGAAAAACATTTCAGACTCAACTAATTTAAAAAAAAAATATTCTATTACGAATATTTCCGAAATATTTTGGAATTTTTGTAGCAATTTNACTAAAGTGCTTTATAGAACAAAATCATGAAAAAATAAAAGACCTATTTCTAAATACATATTGACCTAAACAACGTAGATTTTGTAACAAATCCTCTAGACCTGCACAGGGTTGCTACTAACTATATCTCGCCATTCTATGTAATACATGTTATAGAAGTTAAATTAGACGTTTGAATACTGTACTATATAAATATTATATATATATATATCGTAATACCGCTGTGAGAATCACATCACAAGCTTGCTTAGGTGACTCACAGTGGTTTATTACCTCTTTCTTCTTTTTTCCCCTTTTTGTAAAATTTTCTCTGTAAATTACCTGAATTACCTGAATAAATTACCTGATTTTTTCCTATTTCCCACTCAACCCTCAGGCTTAGTGATCTGGAGTACACTCCACATCCTGAGCCTTCTTTGGTTTTTGAGCCGTCTGTATATATGCGTATTGCATTTGTAGCATCTGACTCTGTGTTCTGTTTTATTTGTGTTTTGTAGGGTTCACTAAACACAGATCTGGGTTCAATTGCATCACTGGTTGTCTGCAGCAGAGGTTGCGCAGTAAGCGCTTCTCGTTATAGGCTCAGCCTCAATTGACCCATTCCTACTTCGAGGTTTACACCTAACTCATCCAATAGTTCATTATTTTTTACATCTGTATTTTGACTTTGTGATAAAAGACATAATGTAGTAGATATGTACACAACAAAATGAAAAAATGTAGACTCCTTGAGGAAAATTACAGATGTTTCCGTTACGGAATTTTTACATCATCAAGTTATGTGAGAGGAAACAATGTTAGTATATTACGCACCTAGGGAGAAAAGTAAGACCTCGCTAGCGAAATTTTGTCAGGCGAGGGTGACAAAATCGCGGGCGGGGATGCCGTACTTTTCACCTGTAGTAAGTATATGATTTTTGATCACTGCGGGATGTGAAGTTCGACCCTTTCGTTAATTTAGCGTTTTTCAATTACAGATTGAAAATTTAACTGTTGTCATAGACATTTTGATAATAAGCATGCGCGTTAGTGTTATCTAACCGGAAGAGAACGAGGGACTTTTGTCCCGCATACAGGAGATGAAAAGCAAACTCTTCATCCCACAGTGAGAAAATGAATAGATTTTTATCGACCTTCTTTGTTTATTTTCATCTTCCACAATCTGAAAAATATGAATATTGTATTGGAGAACTTTATATATGTGAAAATATGACAAAACGTTTTAGTTTACTCCGATAAGTTACTGCGTGAATTCAAAGAATTGTTCACAAAGAAAATGTTCAATTTATCAGTAAATTGTCGTATTCAATAAATTTTGCCTATCAAAAAATGAGCTGAGGAATTATCCATTACTTATCTGAACGTTATGGAGGCTGAAATATGTCTCCGTCTTCAGAGTTTCACAGATGTCGAACGAGTTTTGGAAATGTGTGTATACTTATAGAAAATTCAAAAAGTACAATTAG